TCCCGATGAGGTGCGTCTGGTTTGGTTGCGTCCGTGTTTGTGCCCATGTTTGTGTCTGTCTTTGTGTCTTTGTGCATGCGCCTGTGGCGTGTCCTTTGTGCGACCTATACGTGGTGTTGACGTTCAATGAGGTTTCAGTATCTGTTATGGACCCCATGCGTTGTCATTTGCACTTCTTGCCAAAGCTGCAGAAATTGCAGAGCAGAAATCCGTAAATCGGGTCGTGGCTCATGCTTTTGCTTTCCAACTAGCAGATGACACCCTCGTTTTTGTCACCAAGGTTGGTGTCTTTGGCAACTCCGCCCACGTTTTACTGCGTCGAGGTTCTAGAGTCTAAGTGGTTCAATATGGGGCCGCGACAGCTGGGTGCTCAAACAACCCAGCCATGGGTCTGTTGCGAGGTAAACAGGCCCGAAAAGGGTATCCTCAGACAAGACATGTAAACCTTGCTGACCTTGTGCGCCTTGAACACCATGCTGACTCTTGGGATCATAGGTGTCCTTTTTGGGTTGTTTTGCTCGAAAAATAGCATGGGGTTTGATTCCTGGTTTACCTGGTGGTTTAATCATCTACCAGGGAAATCAATCTATTTCCCCTAAAAAATCCACCACGCCACCACCTGGCCGGGCCTCCCCCACAGAAACTAGATGCTGGGGATGGGGATCAGCAGCTTCTCGGCTGAAACCCACCGCGCGCTTCAGTGATTCAGGTGGCTAAAGAGCTCCTGGGCTGCAGAGGAGCCGCGATTTTCGGTTTTCGGGCGGCTTGGGATGGCCATGTCGGGCTTTGGTTTCTAAAAATATCATGTTTTTTTGTTAAAAAAATACAAATAAACATATTAGTGTGTTACAGTGTTTGATAATACATACGTTTGTATATAGATGAACGTGTAGGTATTCATTAATTGATTCGGGAAACAGGGTATGAATGACGGCTCTTTAGCAATTGGACATACACTTATTTTCAACAGAGGTCGCCAGCCTGGATGTACATTAGTGGATTTGCTGTGTCAGTTTCTGATGTTCTTGCTGCGCTAGTTTCAAGATGAATGGTCAGCCTTCTCAACATGTTAAAACCAACGTTTCTTCGGATTGGTGTGTCTTTGTTCCTCGTGTGTTCTGGGGCGGGAACCGTTTCCAGGTGAAGCATGCAAGCAAGCAGATTCATTTGGGCCAACAAGTTTAGAAAAATATCATTCGATATCCGGTTGGAAACCCTGACCGATATTCAATACTGGTTCAAGACCATGTGAACATTGGGGACGTTCGGACGACAGAGCTCATGTCTGACATGCCATGTTTTGTTCGTCTCACTGGGTGTTTTCTCAAAGAAAGAGGCGCCCTGATTCAGACATTGTCAAATTGTGAAGTCATCAAACAACTTTCAAAAGCAGGGCGCAACTATGGTTTGGAAAGCACCCCGTGTTATAGTAGATTGTTTTGTGTATGATAGTTATATAATATATAATTTTCATACACATAAATGTAGTGTATACATCAGGGCTCCTGAAAAAATATCCATGTTGCCACCATTTGAAGCATGTTGCCTTTTTCAACCCCAAAATACAGTTGGGTTTACAACACCATTTACAAGTCAGTTGCACTGTAATCCGGTTTTTTCCCATGTATCCGGATCCCTACAGAGGCTTGTGTAGGTCTGTCTTCTTGGTTTCTCACAGCTTTCTCCCGCTGGTAGGAGCCTCCAGAAGCAGAGGCGCAGCGGGCGTCGGATCGAAGCCACTGGGAACGCGGCTCTGGCTCTGGGAAGGCGCAGTCGGAAACTCGCAATTGAAGTGATGGCAATTTCTGGCGGTTTGAGCGGAGCGGAAAGACCAAAGGCATGTCTTACCCATCTCGCTTTGAGGAGCCGGCTCTTGTTGAGTTTCCAACTTGAATCTCAGTTGCCCAATGCCAACCTTTTGACGCTTTGGTGTCCCTATGTTGGTCCAGTTTTAGTCAAGGTCCCAAAAGGGTCATCTTTTTTTGGGGGGTCCGTTGTGCAAGTGAAGCATGGAAACCAAAGGGGAGTCGGAAAGCCATTGGATATGCTTCTTGAGGGCATCCTTTCATCCGGGTCCCCTAGCTTTTAGGTTCCCATCTTGGTCCAGTTCTTATTTGAGACCCTACTCGAATGGCAGAAACGATCCAAACAAGGGTGTTGCCGCTTCGACATCGGACACTGACGTTCGCACCACCGAAAAGCGGTGCTGGCCACCTGCACTTCCTGTCCTGGTTGAAGCCTTGAAGATGATGCCAAACCACAAGCAGTACACGAGAGGCAACCAACACTTATGTTAGTATGTGTACGCACTGTGTAACAGCATAGATACATGTTGTGTCATGTTGTGTTGTCGCTTATTTTTGCTGAGTGCTCGACTTCTGTATTGCTTTGAGTGCTTCAGCTTCTTCTTGGAGGGAACGTGCCACATCAACGTCGTGCTTTAGACAGGCATACGCGGAAGTGTCAAGCAACGAGTCATGCTTACAAGGGCCTTCCGACATTCCTTTTTTGAAGATGCCTCTTTTGGAGTTGTGCCCAAGGGAAACATGGGCAACGTCAACGGGTTTCGTCTGGAACTGCTGGGGAGCTTTTGTGTACGAGACTGTAGCCAAAGCCTGCTCACTTTGAACGAACAGAAGACATCGCCCGAGTCTCGCAAATACATCTGGAAGTTCGGAATCGTTGTTTCACAGGACTTAAGCACGGGGAAGCGGTAATTTGCAACCTCAAGTGGTCACCTACCTCAATTAAGCCAGAGATCCGGTGCACATCCAGGGCTTGAAGTTGGTTCCACGCTAAATCTTGTATCCATGCACATCCCTTCTCCGGTTTTCCATCCCGGTGTCGAGTGCCTCCCCCAAAGTGTTGTCCATGCACATCCCTTCTATGTCCTCTAGACGTGCCTTGCTGCTTTGGACGTGCCGACTTTGGTCGTGGTCCCATTTCGCCAGGCCAAGATATCGGGAGGCACCTTATCCCAAGGCTGGCACGGGCCTTGAAAACGCCATAGCGAGCGACCAAGGGGGGCTCCATTGTAAAGAGGCCGCCGTTTGGTTTCACTGTGATTGAATCGAATGCTGAAGCGCCAGGACAAGTTAAATTAGCTCCAGTCGGCCCGCATTTGCACAGTTTGTGACACATCTTGTTTGTTCTGTTTGTTTGGTTGGTTGGTTGATTGGTTTGGTTTGGTTTGGTTTGGTTTGTATTGTTTGTTTGGTTGGTTGGTTGGTTGGTTGGTTGGTTGGTTGGTTATTTGTTTGTTTGTTTGTTTGTTTGTCTGCTTGTTAGTTGTTTAGTTTGTTAGTTAGTTAGTTTGTGTGTTTGTTTGTTTGTTTGTTTGCCTGGTTTTTTGTTTGTTTGCTTGCTTGATTGCTTGCTTGCTTGTTTGTTTGTTTGTTTGTTTGTTTGTTTGTTTGTTTGTTTGTTGTTTTGTTGTTTTGTTAGTTTGTTTGGTTGGTTGGTTGGTTGATTGATTGGTTTGGTTTGCTTTGGTTTGGTTTGGTTTGGTTTTGTTTGTTTGTTTGTTTGATTGTTTGTTTGTCTGTTTGACTGTCTGCTTGTTTGATTCCCACAGGGATGCAATGACCATCGCTAGTGGCAGGCTTTCCGTTGCTGGAGGTGAGACCCAGGCATGGGGAGAGTGCTGTGCTCGATTAGGGAGAAATATGCCTACCCATGCTGAAGGTTCATTTACCAGAGTCACTAGAGCATCCTTTTAATTCCGTTGGTGAATGTTCAGCAAGTTGCGCAGATTCTGTTCTGACCATGGGTGTTCTGGACTGATATCTCTTCCACTTCTTCCGGACGATCGAAGCGATATGATTTTCTCGAGCAACTGGCGGCTGCGTGAAGTCATCAGAAGAGCCAGTATGTCATGAATCGAGGGAGGCTTGATGTTCTTGTGATGGCTTCCTGCGCGAGTCATCGGGGTCGGATTCTAGCCAATACAGCAGTTAGACTAGTGTTCAGGTTGTGGACCCTGGAACAACAAAAACACTCCCTTTCTGGGTGACTATGGAAGGCTCTTGTCCAAACAAAGTTTGAGCATTCCGATCAGGGATCAGCTTTCTACCCTTTGAGGGTCTTTGGAGCAAGCCGCCTCAAACAATCTCCCGCCCTTTGCAGGATAATTTCCGCCTTGTCAAGAGGAACTGCTGGTCTTTGTTCAAAAGAGCTTGCTTGCACGAGAACATGCGCTTCTGTGGGAGAGTCCACTAGGGTCTTTGGAGAAGCCTGTTAAGGAATTTTCCCTCCAACAAATCCAGAAATGCCAAGGAAGGCGGCATTGATGTTGAGGAATCACCCCCTCAAGCATGCTTTAAATTTGTTTTCCAAGAAGACCTGCTTGGTCTTCTAAACACATTGCTTGCGTGCGCATTTGCATCCCTCGGACATGGCCGGTAGGGCCAAATTGTTTCGCCGCACGCGTCCACGAAGGCCGCCGGACGCGCTGCCGCTGTTCACAGTGCGCCGACCATTGGCGGAAGGGGAGGCCGAAGCGGGAGAGAGGGCACCGGACAGAGGCACGATTCAGATTCAGGAGTCCCCTTTTTGGAGGGGAGCCCTTCAGAGGTCCCCATGCTGACAAACACCTGTGGGTGCGACATGAGGTTCCTCAGGGGTTCCCTCATTTTGAGACTTTCGTATTTTGTCCCTTCGGTACAACATCAGGTATTATGAAGCTGGTGCCGCCGATTCACAAGTCGATGTGTTCTTGCAGGTAGCGCCTCGTATTCATGAAGAAGAGGGATCTACTCAGGGGTAGCAGCACGCTCATGATGGAACTGGCATGCAAGCTGGCTCCCGTGCAGGTTTCGTGCTTTGGAACGGCAAATGTCTCCCGGGTATTGCATGTGCAGCAATCAATAGTTGCCCTTGCAGAAGTCTGGTGCTTCATTGCAGACTTGCACAAGCAGGCCGGAAGGACCACAGCGGAAGTAAGAAGGCAAGGCCACACTGACCTGACTGAGTGTTGATCAGACGGAGAGACTATGATCGCAGATGAGATTCCAAAGCTTCCGTGGAGGCTTTGACTGTGGAAGACCTTACCATATTCGCCTTGTGTTTCGCATTTTTACCGCATGCCTCTACCTTTTCGGGGCGGTGCCTGGTGTGGTTCGTGGCCAGCAGCACCAATAGTTTCCAGCTTGTGTGAGTTGTTGTTGTTTGTTGTAAGACAATATCATGTTTCTTGTCCAGAGACAAAACAAGGGAGCCATCGCATCCCAGCAACTAATCCAAAATAGCAACTATTGTGACCATTGTAGCAGATGATCTTCCCTTTGGTTCAGCTGCTATAGCCTGGCGGTCACTGGCGGTTGTATGCGACTGAAGACTGGACAGATGTTTGCGAAAGCTGACCTCTGGGAGGTATGTCTAATTTCTCCCGAAGGTCCGCCGAGTGGAATGGCCTGTGAAATGATTTTCAAATTCATGGTTTATTGAATACGGACCAAAATCACCGCGTGAAAGTCTCACTTGGGTTCTTGTTGCAGAGGTAGGTAAGTTCAACGAAGCAAATGTTCAATTGCTTCTTCTGAAGGAGACCAGAAACATGACTTTCAGGTGAGGAACTTCAGCCTCTTCGAACCCCGGTTCCTGCGCTTGTTCGATCAGCTCAAGGACCGAAGTTGGGTTGGGCCTTTACCCCATTGTGTCTAGACCGCAGTCGCGAGGAGGCGGGCCAGGCGCGAAACGGCCTACGCCTGGCGGTGGCCTGCTCCTCATTTTTGGTCGACCTGTCGGCTCGGCTTTCATTCAAAGGCTTCGCCTGGAAAAGGCCCACAGAGGTTTTTGCATGAACCTCTGATCAGAAATTCTCTGAGGCTGATTGGTCTGTCTTCAGCTTGAGGCTCACGGCGTTAGGCTCGGCCCCTTCCCTTGTGGTTCAGTGAGTCCTTTTGTAGCATCCACCAAAAATGGGCCGGGAATCGGGGAGTTTCTTTCCGGATGCTGAGTCACATCCAACTTCTGATCCAATCTTCAGGACTGATAAGAGTACTGTAAATGGGGAATATGAACGACAATGATTAGACAGAACAAAGAAACAAACCAACAAAAGGGCTCCAAAGCAGGATCCAATGGAGTTTTTAGGGGAGCCAACTCAGCCAAGGCCTACGCCCCTTACGGGGTGGAGCAGCCGCTGGGCCTTTGGTGCCAGGCGCGGGCCGGGCTGCGTGCGCCGCGTGCGCCGCGCGCGCACCGGCGCCGGCTGCCCTCCTGCGGGATTTGTTTGGAGAGACCCTTGTGGAGTAAACAGGTCAGTGGGGCTTTCTGTGTGTTTTTCATGGGCGTGACTGGATCAATCTTTGGCAACAGCCGGGTTTTTTGTTTGTTTGTTGCATCAGGAGCCACCAGCTTGTCGATTGCTGGTCAAGCGAGCCGGGTGAGCCGGGATGAGCCCTGGAAGCACTGCGATCAATCTGGCTGAGGGTCCACTAGAGTGGCCGAGCCGTCACGCATAGCCAGTGGAAGATTGCAGCATTGGGATCGCGGAAGGGTTCGCCTTTTGTCGCCGCAGGGAGCTTTTGACAGTTCCCCGAATTTCGTCCAGGGGGTTCATGGGCCTTGGTGTCTGCTTAGTGGTGATTTAGATTTGGCTGATAATCCTTTTTCCAGTATTGTTTAGAATTGGCTTATACTGTGTTGAGTTTTCCTGTGAACTGACTCGGTAATCTTTCGACTTGGCATGGTATTTAATGTCATTTGAAGCTGGCCTAGTAGTGCTTCGAATTGGTTTAGTTTTGCTGTGTACTGGCTCGGTAGTTGTTAGACTTGGTTTAGTAGTTCAAACTTCCTTGAACGGCCCAGTATTGTTTAGACTTGATCTAATTTTAATTTAGTATTGGTTTAGTACTCCTGTGTACTGGCTGATATATAAACATGTGTTTTCTCTTCTTTCTACCACTCTTAAGCTTTATCAGCATTCCCCGCGCTCTCTTCACCACCCTTCCTTTGACAATTTGTTTGGGCAGCTGTGTTTGGTCAAGGGTGCCTTAAACCAAAAAATGGTCTTCGAGGCCGCAGTCGGTTTTGCGGGCTTAGGACTAGCTTAATGTTGGTTTGTCATCAATCTAGTATTGGTTTAGTATTAGTTTGTATCGGCTTAGTATATTGGTTCATATTATTTTATAGCTGGCTTAGTGTTGCTCTAGTATTGCCAGGGCTGAAGATCATGTATTCCATCCCCTGGACGGGCAGCAATATGATGTTTTCACTGAAACAAACTTGTTTTGTGTATACCTTACCCTGAAACAGATGTAGCGCTGCGCAACAGTAGGCAGCAAACAAATGTTCCCCTGTTCTAGCGGCAGGCCCAAGTGGCCAGCTGTGCTAGCCTTTGTTCCTTGTTGCGTTTCGTGTGGTGTTTCTTTGACCTAGCTTTTCTTGAAGCAAGGTCTCAGCAAGAATTCAGAAACCAGACTTTGACGTATTATTGAGCGGAGGGTCGATATGCTAAGGGCATTTGCAAAGTTGGGCAGTTTCCCTGCGAATTGGAGCCAGTTTACCATGAGCGAGGCTGGTCCACACAGGTCCTTTGAAATGGAGGTCGGCCCAAAGTGGCAGTCCAAAAGGAGCGGGCGGTAGAGAGACCCTGAGGTCAATGAACTGAGATCGGGGAATCTCGCTGGTGCTATGACTCCAATAGCTGGGAGCTGGGGAAGTACCACGACGGGGTACTCCAGATAGCAGGACTTGCTGATCTTGCTCGCTCTGACTGGCATCATATATGGACGGTAACTACATAGAAACTCACGGAAAGCGGGGCTGGCACGGGGTGACATGACATTCATGAGTGTCATCAACCCTTTCTTTGTCCTTTCAAAAGCCATGCAATCAAAGCCTTGAACATGACGTTGATGGGGCGGATGAGATTTACAAGATGCACACGCCTTCCACGGTGCCTTTGGACCTGTTGACCACACCTTGCCGGACTGCTGGCGTTGTGGGAAAACCAGCTCTTCCTTCAACTGGAAATGTATTCACCCCATACATACCCTTGCATTTCATGCTGTCCTTTTAACACCGAAGGGGGTTCAATTTGTTTTGACATGTCCACCTAGCCCCTCGTAAATCTTCGTGTTTCTTGTTGCTCCGTGCCACGTTCCCCTCCTCTCCCCCGCCTATTCGCAACTCGCGAGGGCCACCTGCCTGCGCCTTTGCCGGCGGAAGAGCTTCCGCCTCTGGCGGTGCAGGTGGGGGAACACATGAGCCACCCGGGAAGATGAAGATTAGTAAGGGATGATCCCAACCATAAATAGCTGCGGCCGCCTTCTTACTTCTTTACATTGTTCTGGGTAGACCATTTTCATACCGGGTTTTGATTATGACTCACATGTCTTGATATTGTGGGTTTGGTGGCTTGGACGTTTGTGCTCTAGTCATGGGCAATCTTCAACCAAATTCACCCATATGTAACGCGTAAAATTTGGGAACCCTGTGTTTCCCTTGTTCATCAGTTTCTGGTTTCCCATTTTGGGTTGGGCTGTAGACTGCACAGCTGGCCATTGCCGCTGGACCGGAAGATCTGAAGACGGGGGGTACCCAGCCTTAAGACGCTTCCAGGTCCAAGAGGAATTTCATGGCCTAAAGTAGCGTAGAACCAGACGTCCAGGGGCTTTGGGCACTGCTCACCTCGACGTACATGCGTTAGCCACTGCTGAGCAGCACATGTTTTTTGTTTTTCAGCGATGCGTGCGTTGATCAGCTCTCTTCGGTATTCCAGAATCTGCCCCACGCCGATGATTCTCACCGGACTTGAAATGTAGAAGCCACCTTTGGGCATTCCCTTAGGACTGTTTGGGACTCCTGGCCTCGTTTGAGAGCAGAAAAGGATAGCGGCGTAGCGGGGCGAGTCTGGGAGGCGCAGCTGAGAATGGGTTTTTCAACACCGTTCGACAGGCACCTGTCATTCTATGTAAAGCCTTCTCATGTTGGGTTTTGGAGCTTTGGTCTTCCCCTACCTGGATTCCTGGCGAGGATTGGGAGGGTGGAGCTGTATATATATGTATATAATGGGGTTCATATGGTACGTCAGGGGAAACCATCAGGTAAAATCTAAAGTCAACCCCCTTCACCCGCTATCCACCAATGTACGGAGCCTTGCAGCGACCTCAAGGGACGCCGTCCGCGAGGGCGAGGCTCACTTTGGTTTCGAGGAACTAAAACAGGGCTCCTTAAAAGATCTCCATTTTGCCGACCATTTGAAACATGTTGGTTTTTTTCCACCAAAGTAGAAGGGACCCACCATTTACTAGGCAATGTTCAGGTGTATTTTTGTAAGGATCCCTGTAAAAGGAATGCGGTTTCTTTTTTTGGGGCTCCCCCCAATTTCAGTGATTTCAGGTTGGCCTGGGACAGTTCCAAGGGCCCTATGGTTTTGAGACTCGCGGAGACCGTCTCTCTTCGGAGCGGGTTGGTTCGCGGGGCGAAACTTGGGGCATGGACTGGCCAAGCCTTTAAGACGAGTCTTGTTCACTGGGCACCAAGCACAGGTTTCCCGATTTCGCTCCATGAGCTGCCTTTTTGTTTTTAGTTTTTTGCCGAGCAAGAAAGCTTGTTTATGTAAACAGAAACCAAGAAAATAATCAGGGGGTTCTGGGTGATGTAAACAAACAAAACAAGTGAAGCCTTCTGGGTGTGCAAACCTTCTGAAGGCTTCAATCACTTTTGGCCTCGTTTCAGGTGGAGGTCATCCTGGACTCACAAGTGCCTTCCTGAGATTCGGACGGGCTTTGCAAAGGTGTGGTGTATTGCCTCGGACGAATCGAATTTGTGGATGGCTTGGTCCGCGTTGGTCTCTTGATTTGAGACCAAACTTACCAACCTCTCTTGCCCACACCCGACCTTTTGTTCTTTGGGTGTTTCACTTTCAGCCTATACATGGGATCACAAGGCTAAGCGAGCCTTGCTCAGCTCATTGCGCAAGGTCCGCATTGTGGAAGTTGAGACCATCGCTGAGGGCCTCGGCGAGGAGACCAGGGGACGCATTGCGCGATAACTTCTTCGGACACTGCTTATAAGCCAGGAGCAGTGATCCCCTCCAGACAAAGAAGCGGCGGTTCTGCTGATTTTGTGTTTTGTTGCAGGTGGTTTTCGAGGTGTTTGCTTAGTTTGGCTGTTTGATCCACATTAGAACCTATCATTACAAAGTGGGGGAGGTCCCAACTTCCCCATAAGCAAAGAACATGGGAGCCGCTCGTGTCGTAGCATGTTCCTGGAAGAGGTTGAGCATTCTCCGTGGCTTTGATCTTGCAGAGGTTCGGCAGGAGCCCCCTTCTGCACCTGCTCCAGCGGTTGGTTCCCGCGCGGCATGCGCAATGATAGATGGGATTCTAGATCATTTGGACCAGAGCCGGAGTGAATCAAACAAGTAGGATGTTTTCATTTGCATTGCTAGGGAGCTCTTTCAGATTGATTCCTAGGGATGTGCTTGGCAGCATTGTTTGCTTTGGGAGTACGAGAAGATCATTTTATCCGTGGCTCCGTGTGTGCGTGCGTGTGATTTTTTTCCAAATTGCTGGCTTCAGCTTGGTGCTCTTTCCCACCCCCAAAGTTTACAGTCAGCGCCTGCTTCCACCCCCGCTGGTTTCACCAGGAATCTCAGCAGCCCACTCAGCCCAAACTATCGGCGGTTCAGTGGAACATAGGGAACATTCCTACATGGGTGTGCGAAGATAGGGGGGCCCAACAAGTGGCGGTTTGCCTTTGTGTTTTTGTTTGAAGCCAACCTGAGAAGCATTCGTGTCCTTTTTGTTTGATTTGGTTGAACAATAGAGGGCCCTGGTTTACCTGGTGGTTCAATTCACTACCAGGGCCATCTATTGTCCCAAAAAGGACACCTATGCTGAAAAGAGTCTCGAAACGAGAACACCTGAATGGAAGCGAATGATTCCGCAGGACCAACGGCGTCGATGGCGGCTGCAAGTACGAGGCGCCTGAGGGTGAGAGAGAGACTGGGCCCTCCCACTGCCCCCGAGAGGCCTACGGGGTCGAGGTGCCTTTGTTTTGTTCGCAGGGAGTGAAGGATTTGAAGTGGGAGTGAGGGAGTGTACCAACTAGACCGTAGTCTCGGTTGTCCCTTGAACATATTATTTGCATTTCCAGCTTGAGCATGTTCACATCAGATGAGCTTTGGGTGCAACCTAGTAAATAGCCCTTGGCAATGGATTGACTCTGTAGCCAGCATGTAGCCTGTACGTTCCTGCTATGTAGGTAGGGTCCATTCCATTAATTTAACATGGCTAAGTTTGCAGTCCTCGAGGCTCACTAAATTCCCTCCGAATTGAACATGAGCTAATTCATTCACCCATTACCGTTGTTTCCAGACGGTTCGGAGCCTCGATGTTTGCCTGACATGAGCCGGCGACAACGACGCGGTTCTTCACCTGGAGGCACTTCCGAGCTGCTTCCCACAAGTGGCTGCGGCATCTTCTCCGACGAGCGCGGCACTTCAGCTTCGCGATTGGTGTCGGTGTCCAAAATGGGGAGGCACCTGTTTGATAAACCGGTCCCCCTAACAATAAACTGTCCCCCCCCCTTCCCCCCTAACAACAAGGAGAGCCGGGGAGTACAAAAACTAAGCAATTGCTCAACCAAACGCAGGTGGTGGAAACTGTTATCCAAAGCAAGTAGGGTGCCTGAGCGCTGGTTTTTATTCCCCTTAAACTCAATTGGACGGTATTCAACCTTCCACAGGCCCTTCTGCATCCTTGCCGCAGGCCAAGAGGTTCCTTCCGCAATGAGCGGGAGATGGCAGTTTCGCAGGAAACCTACAAATGAACAAATTGGCAGTTGCCAGGCATCAGCCAGATAAAGTAGCAACGCTGTGGCATACGCAAGGGGCAACAAAGAGTATTAGGGGCTGATTCCCAATTCCACTTCGGCACCAGCAGCTCCTGCATACTTTTGAGTTGCTCATCAATTCCTTTCAGGAACTTGGCAGTTGCTTCATTGCTTCATTTAGATCATGTTGTCATATTTTGCAAAGACGGATATACACATCTTTGGGCAGGTATCGGCAAGGTAAGGCTGGGGTGGGTCACTGCTTGCGTCCTGGCTCATCGCAAGGAGTGTCCCCCGTCCCTCCCAAGCTCTCGGACCGAAAAGCGTTGCCTCCGGGCCAAATCCGACCAGCGCAGACTCCGGCACTCTCTGTCGGACGCACCTTTGCAGGCCAAGGCAGATCCCACCCGCGCACAAAATATGACCTTGTCATCGCTATGCTCGGTGGGCCAAATCCCACGAACACGGCTTGCGGCACCCTGGCACACGGACGGGCCCGCCTCATTCTCGGTACTGTCGCCCTTATCTTTGCGAAGTAGATTTGTTTTGATAACTGGTGGCTCTTTCTGCGATTGAGCTCACATCGTTTTAATCATTGGTAGCCTCTTTCTGCGATTGCACTCATGTCGAAATCGTTCATGACGGGTGGCCCTTCATTTTGCGAGGTGCATTTTGTTTAGCATTTGGTAGCCTCTTTCTGCGACTAAACTCACATCGAAATCGTTCATGACTCGAGTGCAATGGGTGCAGAGAAAGCGCGGATTCTGATTGGCAGCCTGGTTTCCAATTGGAAGAGAGGTGCCCCTGTGATTTGCAAAGAAAGTGTTCAGCATGCGGCTTTTAAGTAAGATCTTTTAAGGGGAAGGGGCCCCTTGCACACAAAGTGTTCCGAATGCAGCTTTTGAGTAAGACCCTATGAAGGGAACCTAATAGAAACCCTATCGCAAAAAGACCTACTGCAAGGCAACCCATTGGCTTGAAATAACAAGCGCTTAGAACACACCGTTTGAGTAAGACCTCGTGAAGGGAACCTGATTGATGGAGACCCTTATAATAAAACTCCTCCTGCAAGGCAACCCGTTGGTTCGAGGAGAAAACACTTAGAATACAGCTTTTGAGTAAGAACTCTTAGAGGGAAGGGACCCTTTCGATTTGAAACAAAAAGCGCTCAGAATACAACTTTCGAGTAAGACCGTTTGAAGGGAACCGAATGGAGACCCTTTTGCCAAAAAAACAACCCTCCCGCAAAACAACAAGCGCTCAGAATGCAACGTTTCAAGAGCTCAGAAAGGGAACCGAATGGAGACCCTACTAAAAGCCCGGCCCCGAATGAGCACATCTGGAGCTTGGCTGACTTCACCCATTTGTCCAGAGAGGCTAGTATTCAGTTGGTAATGAATGCTTGCAATCTTTGGGGTCGGCTGGAAAGGTTTTTATTATTGGGGGTCCGGTTTTTTCAATTGGAAGAAGGGGTCAGCCTTTACAGAGAGAGAGAGAGAGACAGCACTAACGAACAAAGTAAGCAAGCAACCAAGCAACAAAGCCACCGTTGTTTGGGGTTCCCTCTCTAAAGAAAAGTGCCATCAACCGTTGCCTAGCACCGGAGTGTACCCAAGCAAGGAAAACTGTTTGTTTGGCATATGAGGCTTTCCGTAAATAGCTGTATTCGTTTTTTAGTGGCTAGTGGCGGTGGTTATGTTGGTAAGTAAGTGAAACGCAGGACGCGGAAGCGGCGCGGAAGCTGCGACCTGTTATGTTATTTGAAACTATTGGCTTGCCTTTAAACATGTTACACGCTTGTACCGAAAAGTTACGATTCTCAAGCTGGATCTCGGAAAGTGCACCTCGCGTACTACATCTGTGTATGAAAAGTTCCAGATCAACGAGCTGGAGCTGAGAAAGTGGCCTTCGCGTACTACATTTGTACTAAAATTTGCGATTCTCGAGCCGGAGCTCGGAAAGTGCCCGACGCGTACTGAAATCAAAACCCCGCGCCTTTTCGTTATGTAAGGGGACGTCCCTTAACTTGTTTTGCAGGCCCAAACCATTGTAAACCGATACAGAGGGAAAAACGATACCCCCAGAAGCCATCAAGACACACATCAGGTCCAAGCTGTTGTCGCAAACCAAGATTCGGAATCAGACATTTGCAGGGCCCAAACCGATACCCAAACCGATGCCCAACCGATACCCAACTCATTAGCTGCTGTACAGATCAAACTGACCATGCCTGGACAAGAAAACGGTTTGGTTTGAACGATGCCCCGAACGATGCCCAAAAGATGCCCATATCGCTGGCATAGCCCGCAAACTGGAACCAAGAGCCTGTCCCGGAATGTTCTCGAGATCTTCTAAGGAGATGCCTCGGTCTGGATCTGCTGAAAAGCCAATCGCAATTTCACAGCTGACCAGAGCAGATGAAGAGCATTCGCAGCTATGGATGCTGCAGAAGGTACGCTTTGCGCCGCGGAAGCGGCGCGGAAGCGGAGGGATCGCCCTTTTTTGTCTCAGTGTTTCACGGAAACCCTCATATGTTAAAAAGAACACAACATAAGTAGGCGCCACTGGCATGATTCCGTAATGCTGACGCATGCCCTTGTGCGTGCTTGTGCATCTGAAAAATATCTACATACGCATGCTCCCTCTTTATTATGGCTGGAAGACCTGCTCATGCGTCGAAAAGCGTGCGACTCTTGCCATTCGAAGTACATGATGCTTCCTGTTGGTGAACCAACTGAATCCCTTTGTAGTGTGTTTGGCCAATGAAAACTAAGGATTAGGATTAGTCAGCCTTCATGAGCAGACGGTAGGTGGCCAGTGACTTCTTGCTCCAGAACGAATCCTTGGGGAGGCACCCCTGACTGCTTTGAGTGGATAATGGCATTGAGAATGCTTCGGACGTTTTGACCCTTCCGTTTCTTTGTTTTGGTCTAGACTCAGTCATGTCAACCCAAACTGTGATCATCTCTCATTCGCAGTTGCTTCAATTGCACGTGAGTGGTTGGTCCAAACTCTGACAGCGAAGAAGGGTGGTTATTCGAACGTGAACAATCTTTGAAGGAAAGCCAGAAGCACGCTGTTTAAGCAATGGTGGTGTAAACATGCTGAAGCAAGTGGCTGGAAAGGCGGTTATATACGAGTAGGTATATAGTGGTGAACCGCACTTGGATGGTTTTAGGGGAAGCCAAATTTGTAGGGGTCCCCAAGTTGGGAGAA